AGGCCAACCTCCTCAGTAGGTGAAAATGACTCTACGAGTTATAAGTGTGACCTGGGCAGTGCGTCTGTGATAGAGTCGTGGTCAAGACTTATATAAACATTAGAGATTTTGAAAAATCTTCCTGAAGATCTAAGGATTTTTTTCCCAACTAGTTCTCCTTTAATTTCCAAGTTTTTTTTTTTTTGTTTGTTCTGGCTTCTTTGAATCTCAGTGAACACGCGCGCTGAACTCTCCTGGAAGAAGGCAAGGCAAGCCTCGCTTCTTGGCCCGACGCCACTGCACTGCCAGCGTGGCCATGGGTGGCCATGACCCTGCTTTGCCTTGTTCCCGCGGCTTCTGCGCCGCTGGCCGCTAAAACGCCCCGGCCGCAGTGCTGCAGGGAGACCGTGCGGCGTTCCGCGTCGTTAAAACATGCGCCGAAAACAAGCAGAGTGCTGTCCCGGCCGAGCCGAGCCGACCAGAGGGCGTCCCGTTGCAGCGCGTCGCCGAGAAGGCGACTCATTTCGAGACGCCGTCGTCGCTCCGCCCCTCTCGCACTCACGGGGCGTCCCGTGTAGGAGAGACAGAGCGACGCAAGTGACTCGGGGTGCGTTCTCCGTCCGCCCCGCTCGCCCGACCGCACAACGACCGCCTCTGACCGCGCGGCGGCGCGGCGCTTTCGGACTTTCGAACGCTGTGTGTTCCGCTACGCGTTGCCCGCGCCGCGCCACAACAATGCAGGCAAGTTCGTAAAACGCTTTATTTGTTTATTGGGGCGGCGCGTTGACCGGCCGAGCGCCGCGGGGTCGTAACCCTTCACGGCCAACTCCGAGGAGAAGCGCTCTGTCTCCCTCGCACTCATGGGGCGTCCCGTGCGGGTGCGAGAGAGACAGAGCCTGACACTTCGGGATCGCTCGGCAGACGTCGGCAGCCGCTTGCACTTGCAGCCGACGGCAGAGTGGACGGCGTCGCTTTCAAGTTCGAAAAGTGGACATGTCTGCAGAGGAAAGACTCCCAGCCAACTTTGGAGCCTCAAAAATGTTAAGTCAAGTCCTACTTATTGTTTCAAAAAGTTTAACGAAATAAAATTTACAAAGTTTTGTTTAAATCATTTTTTGGTTGTAGACCTGATGACACCAGGAGAGAGATTGTTGTGTCCTTTGGCGGGTGCATTGGCTTCGCGAAAAATTGTGCAACACGGTACCTGGTACCAGCGGCTACATTAGTTTTGCGAAAAAAGAATGTCTGGAGCAACACGCCCGGTACTTCGTACGACTGTGATGGCGTGTTTTACGAAGAATTTTCGCCCGCAAAAGAGTGGCGAATGTTATGGTCCTCGTAACAAGCGTCGCGTTTTGAGGTCACTTTTGGCGACTTACCTGCGGGAGTGGGTCGCGGTGTCCTCCTCCGTCAAAAATGCTTGATTGTGCTGTTTCACGGCAAGAGCTAATCTCTCTTAAGAGCCGTGCAGTCAGCACTTAGAAGCCCGCTGCCCCCTCCTCAAACCCCACTCGTAAAAGCCACGCAGGCGTCCTGCCGCGTCCTGCAGTGCGAGAGACGCAAGAGAAGGACTGTCTGAGGTTCTCAATAATATCTGTAGCCGCACAGACAATGGGTTTCATCCGAGGGCCGAGTGTACCGACATCGGTACCACAGCTCAGTAACCTCCAACGCCCCCCCCCCCCCCCCACACCCTTCTCCCCGGACGGCCTTGAGACTGGCCGCATGGACACAGGTAGGGCCCTACGGCCTTCATTGGGTTTTTATGACGTCATACAGCCAGTCGAACGGGCTCAAATCCGAGGGCTTCTTGCTTGTCCAGGTGATCTACGAAGTTAAAGGGAATGGCACAGCAGTGACTAACAATGAAGCATTTATGACTTAGCCGGTTAGTACACTGTAGCTACAATGGGAGTAGGCAGGAGCTGAAGTTGCTCCCCACAGGCTTACTTAAGTCCTGCTTTCAAGTCCTGCTGGAGTGTATACTTCTTGTGAGTTGTTAGTGTAGGCTCTCACTTCTCCGAGTGATATTTGCCCCTCTGCTTTTCCGTTTGCTGTGAACCGGTTGGCTGGAAATCAATTGACCCGTCTCGATCGAACAGGCCGGTTCATTGGCTCGAACAAGCAAGCGAAGCAAGCGGTGTGCTATCAGGCGAGCCGCTCCTGCACTGCAAGCGCCTCGCGCAGGGCGTCCCGCAGGGCTGCGAGAGAGACAGAGAGTGTTGCATGCTGCTCCAGATACCCGAGATGATATCCCGACTGCATGCTCGGCGCGATGCTCACACTGTGAGGGATCGCCGCCTAACAAACTAGGCCCGTAAATTACGACGCTGCGAGCGAATTTAATTGGCGCGTTGAGTGTCATCAGCGACAGAGACTTTGTTTTGATTGCGAGAGCCGCGTGATGACCTGAACACGGGCCCGATAATATCAATAACGCATCCTAAGACGGGGCTACATCGATTGGCCATATCGATTCATCGGTAGCGAGGTTGCTGACATCTCACTGTTCCACGGGCCAAGGACCCGGTGCACTGTCAAAACTTTGATCGTCACTGGATGACAATTTCCCAATGTCCTCACAAGAATGCCATCAAAACAGTCGATGACATTGTTGTCACGCCCATGCGAGGTATAGGAGCTGTGATGAAATGTCATCAATATGTCATCAATATTTACAAGTCAGGAGAGTATCATCCACAGGTTTGAGAAAGAGTGACAATTTTTTTTTCCTTTTACAGTGTGGGTTCGGCTCTTCTGATGTCCAGGGCAGATTGGCCAGCGTCTTTTGTTTTCCAGAAAGCTAAACATATATTCCGTGGGCTGGTTTCCTAGATGTGGGGCCTCAGCGAAGAGGGGGGGGGGGGATTTTATTGGAGGCCTCCGCTAAAGGAGACGCGGCAAAAGTGTTCCTTTGGTTTTCAAGGGGACGGGGGTTTTCGGTGAGCTGCCCGCGAGGCTGAGCGCCTCGTTCGGAAGGCCCCGGTGCGATGAACCGACGCCGACGGCGACAGCCGCGACGCCCTTGAGGCCGCTACACCGCAAAACCGGGGGAGAGTCGCCGACGCCGACGTCACCGAGCCGAGCCGGCCGGGGATGGCGACTCGACTTCCAAACTCAGAAGTCATCCTGCAAGCACGCCGACGATGACCTTTGTCGTGTCCGCCACCGCAACCTTCTGCTGCACGCTCTGTCTCCGGGCTTCACCAGGGGATGCGGGGGACAGCGACGAAGACGCTATGGGTCCTCCGCGGCGTCCACGGCGTCCACGGACACACTGGGCGACGGCAGGCCGTTGTTGGGCTTGCCGGCTTGTGTCGCTCCCAGACCGTCAAGGACAACGGGCAGGACGGGCGTGGTGAAGCCGCCGGTGAAGCAAGACGCGGCGTTCTGCGGTCGCTCGGACAGTGGTGTGCCACGGAGTGCCACGGCGTGCCCGGTGCCAAGACGGGCACTCCGCCTGCCCGGCCCGGACTCGAGATCCCAGCCGGCCCGGGAGCCCCTGGGGCTGAACTTTGGAAGGGGCGAACCGGCCGGCCAGGCAGAGGCCGGCAACTGCACGCACAGTGGACGGCAGATGCGGGCCGACCAACGCCACGCATCGGACTCACTCTGAGAGCCGTTGTCTCTCTCGCACACCTACGGGACGCCCCGCGAGTGCGAGAGAGACAGCGGCGAAAACGACCCCCAGCCTGCGGGCCGGCACGGCCCTACGGAATGTTCGACACTTTAGGCTGCAGGGCTCTCATCTCATCGAGGAGTGCGCACAAATTTCAGGAATGTTTTACACGCGTGTTAGGGCAGCCTAATATCAGAGTCCTCCTGGTGCCTCGTATGCAGTACGCCCAGCGAAAAACACGCCCAAAAGCTTGAACCAAGAAAATAAACGAATATTTGAAACATTCAAGTCAATTCAGTTTATTGACGACATTCGATTAAGTTTAGTTTATTATAAACATTCAAGTAAATTCATTTGGGGGCACCTGACTGAAAGTTCCACAAACATAACCTACGCCACGTAGTTCCGGCTTCATTTCACGCCCCTTGGCAACCGAAGTCGCGTTGAAACCACCGGGACCGTAGCTTCATTATCTTCCACGACGGCCGATTTACAGCTTTCGAGCTTTGTGCATTCTTGGCGCACGCAAAAAGACTTGCCTCGCACGCCAGCTAACTACTTCCAAGGATCCCCCAATCGGCCAGCTGGCTCGTCCGCTCGTTTTCTTGGCAAAATCCGCGAAATAATGATTGGATTCTATTAGGCGGCCGTTTCCATGGTAATGAGGCAGCCGCTCCCACCACTCCGCCAGCCGGGCTCGCCCAATTTGACGCGTAGCGACAACAATGGTGCGTGGGCGGAGCCCAAGGCCGAGGCTGCTTATCTCCTCGCGTCCACCGGGACGCCGGGGCGCCGATAACATCAAGAAAAGTGCAGTTGTTGTCATCAGCGTGTTGTGTCTCCTGGGGATTGTACCCGTCAGCTCCTTTGAGGAATGCCCGCCAGGCGCTGCACTGTGAGCTGCTCCGGACTACCGTGGCCGGCGTTGCTGCGCCCAAGGATGCGGCGTCGGATCAAACTCTACCTGATGATGCAGCGGACTGTCTCCGAGAGTGTCTCTCTCTCGCACCTGCACCGGACGCCCGGTGAGTGCGAGAGAGACAGAAGACACTCTCGGAATGAGTGCTGCTCAGCCTGCTCGGCGCACCTGCGGCCCGCGTCCCGGCCAGTGTGTGAAGTGAAGCTGCCTGTACCGAGCCGAGCGGAGCACGGCCGGGCCGAGCACAGCCGGGCCGAGCGCGGTGCTGCGGCGGAGCCGAGCCGAGCCGGGGCCGGATCGGAGCGGAGCAGCGGAGCGAGGGGATCTCCTTGCTTGGCGTGGCGCGCGCTTGAGTTTCGGCCCCCCGCCGCGGCGCTGCGCTAGCGTCGCGCGGCTCGCCACGGCCCCCCTGCGCTCCCCCCTCCCCCCCAACCCCGCTCGCCGCTCGCCGCCGCTCGCCCGCCAGTTAGTATGCGTGAGCGCGTCGCCGACGCCAGACCTGTGCTGCCGCGCCGCGCTGTGCCCAGTGCCCACGCCAGTGTCCGGGGCGCTCCGTCGCTGCCTGGCTGTGCCCTGGCTGTGCCTGCATTCTTGGATACTGCCGCTAGGACGTAGGGGTGTATGCGCGCCGACCGGGTGTGATTCAGTGTAGTGTGTGAGTGTGTGTGAGTGGATTGGATAGCCTCCAGACAGCAAGCAGCCCCACACGCAGCGGACATTGGATTACTCTTCGCCGTCGCAGCGTCAAAGGTGAGCGAAGCTGGCGAAGCAGTGTGCCTGCCGACCGGCCGATTTTGAACAGTGCCCCCGTCGCTCCGTCTCCCGGTCTCCCTCGGGCTGCGCGAGGCTAGAGACAGCGACGGAGCGCTGGTGTTTGAAACGAGGCTACTTCCGCGGCCGGGGGGCGCGAGGCGCTGGATGCGTTCCACTCGTTCCACTCGGCTTCACGTCGTCCCTGCGCGTTTTCAGACCGCCCCCGCCCCCCTCCCCGCCCACTCCAAAAAGTGGAGTTTCTCACGCGCGGGCCGCCAGGGCACCGCCAGGGCCGGGAGATGCGGCCGCGGTGCTCCGCCACTGCCAGGCAGTGCCTAGCAGTGCCCTGGCTGCCCAGGTGTGGTTCCTCCTTGCTTCCCCGCCGCGACACCCGCCGCCGTTTGGTCGCTCCGTCTCTCTCGCACCCCCGCGGGCCCTGCGGGTCGCCCCGTGAGTGCGACAGAGAGGGAGGCGAGCCTTCGGCACCGCTCCAGTGCACCAGCAGACACGGCCGGCGCGTCAACTCGCATTATTTCGGTTTCCACTCCACTGGAATCGGAATGCCGCTGATAGCGACCCGGCCGCGGCCCCGCGGCCATTCAGCCTCGCATTCAGCGCACGGTGACCTTGTTCCAAGGCCGCCGGCGGTTTTAAATGGACAAAAGCGACAAGAATCGCCGGGATTCGAACCCGCCGCTCGGCACGCTGCGGCGCGCTGCAGCCGCGCGGGGTAAGGGGATCCCCGGCACCGCCCGGCATCCAGGAAGGCGGTGCACTGCAAAAAGCAAAAACAGGAAAAACGGTGTGGCGGCTGCCGGCTGGCGCTTTCCGCGAAGCGCGCCAAGCGGAGCGACGACACCGATCCGCCGTCATTACATTAGGCAGTCGCTGTCTCTCTCGCACTCGCGGGGCGTGCCGGCGTGCCGCGGGGGTGCGACAGAGACGGAGCTTTTCTTCGGAACGGCTTGGCAGGCTGCGACAGGCGAGGAGTGGAAGATGGGGCTAGACTGGCAAGTCACGCACCGCGCTTTCGCGCGGAGTAGGTGCTTCCCTGCTGTACAGTGTACAGCCCGTACAGTGTCATGTCTCGAGAGGACGGCTCTTCGTCTCGATCTGCTGCGCCGAGTGGCTGCCGGTGGCTTGCCCGGCCGCGGACGCAACGGTGTATCCCCCGCGACCGTGCCGTCGCTCTGTCTCTCTCGCACCGCTACGCGACGCGCCGTGAGTGCGAGAAGGACAGACTGCTGGCGACCTTGAGGGGGACGTCGCAAACCCCGCGGCGCGGGTTCGATTCCCGCCCAGCTTGAAGTGTGTCTCTTTTCGTCCGAGTCAAGAAGAACACGACATCCGTGGAGTCGTTTGGCGGCAGTGTGCTGGCAGCTGGCACATGGCCTGGGCGTCGTCTGCGGCGTCCAGAAGGCCGTGGTGGAGGGGCGCGAGCTTGACCCCCGTGACACCGGCCAGCAGAGTCGTTTTCGTCGCTCTGTCCCTCTCATGGGGCGTCCCGTGCAGGTGCGAGAGAGACAGAGCGACCCCTACCCGTCTGCAGGCCGACCGCAGCGTAGCCGGACTCGGTGTCGGCCTGTCGGCGACAAGGCAAAGACCACACTCTGGAGAATGGCAAGTTTTGGACCAGATGGGGTTGACATGGTTTCACAGTGTGCTTCACACGTCCGCACTGTGTCCGCCACACTGTCCGCTCGGTGCGCGGCGTGCGCGGAGAGTACGGGCTGTGCGTGCGATAGCCATCTGCGGAGTGAAGGGGAAGAGAGATAACATCTGGCTACCTGCGGGGCGGGGCGGGGCGGGGCGGGGCGGGGCGGGGCGGGGGCCCAGACAGGTGCCGGTGGAGTGTGCATGCATGCGACTGGTTTGGGACCAGATTTAAAGCGACGACCCCTTTAGGCGGCGCCACTGCAAGTGCGGCACGTCCTCGCGTCTGTCTGTCTGTCTGTCTGTCTGTCTGTCTGTCTGTCTGTCTGTCTGTCTGTCTGTCCGTCCGTCCGTCCGTCCATCCGTCCGTCTGCTCGTCTCGTCGCTGTCAGTCGGGATGCGTCACTTTCCCCGACGGGGAGGCTCCTTGCTGCAGGTTCAAGCCTCGCCGGCGGCGACTCTTCAATGCTTCTGGTCACCCTACTTTGCTTTACCGCTTACTTTTACACGCAGAACCTCGAAGGAATGAATGCTTTGGCTGATGTGCAGTGCCCTTAGCAAGCAAGGTCGCTGCTTTTGAACCATTTTGTCTGATGTAGCAACTGGCAGCCTGCGCTGGGCACGGGGAATCGATGAGGAGTCTTTGGAACAGCAAAGGTGTCGGTGGAATTTGCGAGGCCGGCCGCGGCGGGGTGAGGCAATACCCCATTTTCCACAGTTACTTTCGGGTGTGGAACCAACGTCGATTCCGACACGAAATTTTTTTTTGTGTGTTTTGAAACGGATACACCGCAGAGGATTCAGCAAGGCTGTCTTTGGCCACGGCGTGCTTCGCGGTGCTTCGGCGTGCCTCCGCGCCACGCTGCCTCGCCGCGGGCCGTGGCGGCGGCGCGGTGGCGCGGCGGCGCGGCGGATGCGGCTGCCGGGTACGGGCTGATCCGTTAGCTTGGTACTAGGTTGGTGGCGTGGGGACGCGCCGCTCCGGCCCCCGGAGGCCTCCCGGACGCCTCCCGAAGGCCCCGCGACGGCGGGTGCGAGCGAGAGGGGCAGCGCGACGGGCCCCGCGCCGCCAGCGGGAGCGACGGAGACACGGGCTCCGCGAAGCTCCGCCAAGCGGCAGCGCCGCCACATTCTTTGCCGGTTTCGAATCGTGCGCGCGAGCCATCGCCACGCCGCAGAGAGAGAAGACGGGGCCGACACGAGAGCGGCGGGACGCGGAGGGCCCGGGTTCGACTACCGGCACCGCCGATGCCGTTTTCGGACCCGTTTTTCTTCCCCCCCGCGAGCTCGCGGTGTACTCGCGGATTTGGCTCGGCACTGACCCGCGCAACGACACGCGGTTACGGCAGAGAAACTCGGGGAACCGCACTGGAAACACTTCTGGCGGTAAACGCGCAGGGCAGGCAGTAATCACACTCGGACCAGAGGCCAGCGGCTGGGCCAGGCGTGCGCAGTGTGTTGTACTGTGTACACACTCGGACCTGCACTGGCGAAATAATGTGCGGACTTGGCCAAAATGCGGTGTTTATGCGTCTTTCGGACCCAAATGATGTCGCTCTCAGGCTGTTTCTGACTTGATTCGAGGATATTGGCCTTGTACCTGGCAGTCGTACACCCCACGCCCCCAGTGTAATCAAAGTGTCATCAGAGTAACGTTCATGAAGTCAGTGGAAGACAGCTTTACAAGCGTACATGTTGTATCAGTTTCATTATTTCGTCAATTTTCAATTCTTTACAGTAACAAGGAAAAGCGGATTCCCTCACAGTGTAGGGCGCTTGCGTGCGGTGTCTGTGACAGCGCTTGCAGTGTGCTGGCTGCCTTCCCTTCAGCCTGTCCATCCACCTCACCGCATCTAGGCCATACGCCATACCTGGTACTTTTCGATCCGCGGCGAGGCGATGCAAGGCTGCGAGCAGACAGGCGCTCTGTCTCTCTCGCTCTCTCGCAGGGGCGCCCCGCGACTGCGAGAGAGACTGAGCGACGAAAACGAATCTCGGAATCAGGCTGTGCAGCCAGCAAGGCTGCCATGCAAAGTGGCGGGATCGAACGCCTCGCCGCACCACGCCGCCGCACCCACGCCACGCCACGCCTCGCCTCGACAAGCCACGCCTCTTGACGACGGAACGTTGCACCTTATTATCGGAGCGACACGAACAAGGCACGAGAGATGAATTTGTCTTGAACCTTGTCGTGATGCTGCGAGTGGTGTTGGTCGTGCGTGTGTGCGTGTCTGTCTGTCTGTCTGTCTGTCTGTCTGTCTGTCTGTCTGTCTGTCTGTCTGTCTGTCTGTCTGTCTGTCTGTCTGTCTGTCTGTCTGTCTGCACGAGGGGTGGGGGATAAAATTTTGCGCGCATTCTGGTGGCGTCGTCTGTGCGACGCGACAGGCGGCGGCAGGACAGAGCAGCGACAGAGCAGGCCAGCAAGGAGTAGAAAGTTGTTTCTGACGGCAAGGCAAACCTACAGCCACTCTTCTGCCTCGCGCTCTCCAGGCCTGCAGGCCTCCAGGCCTCCAGGCTGACTGCCTGCCTGGCTGGCCGGCTGGCCGGGGGATGCGGAGAGAATGAAGCCTTCTCTAAATGTCACGTGTCGTGTCGTACCGCGCGGTGCACGCCGCACGCACGCCACGGCACACCGCACGAACCCTTGCCAGGCTCTCACGCACCGTGGCGCCCCCTCCCCTCACGCACGCGAGCTGTGTGTGTGTGTGTGTCTGCTCTCGCATCAGTGTTGTTTGAATTGGTTTTTAATGGGTCTTTAAGTACGCCATCAGAGGAAGCCGCCCGGTGCGAATTAGTCGGGACACTGCGGCGGATTCGCGTTCTAGACTCGTTCGTTTTTTTTTGCAGTGTGGCTGGCTGGCGTCGCGCTTGCTCGGATTTTGGTTGTATTTTGGCAGCGCCGCTGGAGGAGGAGCACACGGTCCCCCGAGCAGAGTCATCTCTATTCTCGGAAAAGTGCATTGAGACGCCCAGAAAGGACGGGGGGGGGGGGGGGCGGTCGTTGCATTGTGTGGGAGGAGAGGCTCGGGTTGACGGCGAGACGTGTCTGCGTTGTGTCACAGCCCGTCCGCCCTGCAGTGGAGTGGCCCGGCTTGGGCCGGCACGGCACTGCATTTGCAGACCGGGTCTCTTCCAGACACGACAGAAAGAAGAGCCAAGCAAAACGAGCCGCCCCCCCCCCTCACCGAATTCAATTTGAGGCCGACTTTCTTGCCATTGAATTTAGTACTTGTTGCACGTAAATTTTCCAGGTTCAAGAGGCGGCTTTTTTTTGGGGTGCAGCAGCCAAACTGCAGGCGCCCGGAACGGGTGCCGAGAGTCTCTCATGCCGTGCGTCGTCATGT